ACGAAATGTCAATCAAAACATTGTTAACAAAAAATATTATTGATGTTTATGTTAATGAACGCGTATCATCGATCAAAGACGGTATCAATGAAATAACGTTTATAAAAAAAATGTTCATGTAAACCGAAATTGTCATATTTAATCGAAATAAATAAGTATTTTATTATGTATGTAACGTAGTTAATACGTTTTATGCAATAAAACGTAGTGATTTAGTTTTTCAGTAACTGATTTTTCTGAAAATTATGCTTATTTTTCATCAATACCTTGTATTGCTCACGCAGAAAACACATTCAACAATTTCGTGATTGACGATATTGTTTCTTGTGAAAATAGCAGTAAAATGAGCGTGTGGTGAATATATATTGGACATTTGAATAGAAAGTTATAAGTAGATTATTTTAGCGTGAGGCGTGGCACATAAGTTATTTGCATTTCTTATTTTGTTCATTGTGTTTTATATATTTTTAATTTTCAGGATGTACCTATTGTTTATAAGTTTCTAAAATTCGCGCAAAGCTTAACTTAATTAAATTTCTGAATTTTTATAGAAAAAATAATAAATTTGAAATAATCAGCGAGATTACGATTGTTCAAAATATTACTTGCTATGTTCATTTATATTCTCAGATAAATTAAACAATATCATAACTTCATCAGGGCAGGGATTTCCCTGAGGCATAGCGAGCTGATCTGTCAGATCACGTTAATTTTTGACAGCTTTGTGAAAAATGAACGACTTCGCGGACCCGATTACGCAAACATCCGGCGATCCATATCAGAGTGGCATCAATCACCTTAATTCACGCTTGATATTCCCGAAATCCTTCGATTCGCTTGAAGGATAATCCTGGCAGATATTCTTCAAGAATCTTTAGCCAACTATAAGGACGCATCAGAGAATTATGCTAATTTCTTAAAAAATACGTGAATGATTTTGTTATCATTATAAACAGAAAAAGATACCCACTTGTATGGAATAATAATAATATTATAAATATAAGATTTTTATGAAGTTGTAATGTAATATACTAGTAATAGTAAGTTTATTTGTGTGTGTGATCTTTTTAAGGTCAAAAATACTTACAACTAGTCTTACAGCTTATCTCTACCTTACAAATTAACTTATAAACTTACAATTAACTTACAAAATTATCTTATACTCTATCTTATTCTCTAAATCTATCCTACCTCGCTCACACACTATCCTATCGTGGATCTCCTCTTCCGTCGCTTTTTTAACGCGTCCTAAATCAATTCACACTCCATTCTCACTATCACTTTTTTCTCACTCATTCTTTCATTCTTTCTTTTCCATCTACAGTTCGATCGAAACTTCGGTTTCGGTTTCGGTTTTGGCCAGTTTCGGCCAAAACTCAAAGTTTCACCTTGGTTTCGGTTTTAATAGAAATTTTTTTTTTATAACATCTTATTTTAATGCAATTTATCACTGAACATAAGATATTCAACAATATTTATGATGATGAATTATAGAGGTGACTAGCAAAATATATGACTTCTGTCATATTCTTATTTATTTAAAGGCTTGGAGTTAATCTGAGTGACGGTTAGATCACTTAATCGAGAAAATCGGTTGATCTTTTTTTTTAAGTCTTCTAACTACCTATTTCTCTGTTTTTCGTAAAGCCAGTAGCGGCTCTGTTAGGATGAGTTGCCAATCTGCGGTAACTGCTGTAGAATTCTTTGATTGTTTCCCTAACCGTTAGGATTTTTAGGTCTCGATGTAAAGTTTTTTTTGTGACATACCAACGGAAATCGGTAATTATTCTTAGTACCTTCGACTAGAATCCTTGTAATATATCTACATATCATTTGAGTTAGAAGCTGTACCCCAGAGTTGAATGTACATGTTCAGATGGTTTTATAGATTAGCAGCTTATTATCCAGTATCAGCTGAGAGTTCCTGCCTAGAAGCCAGTATACTTTATAGAGTTTAAGGCCACATTTGCTGGCTGTTTGTGCTTATCAAAAATGTGGATTTACCAGTAGAACCATCTATTGAAATGCATGCCGAGATATTTAACTTTAGAGACCTGAAGAATTTGAATTTGGTTTAAATAGGAAGACAAGTTGCCGTTCAAGAAGGTAATATAAGAGGATTTCGTTTCATTGACTTTGATTCTCCAACGTTTCAACTAGTCTTGTATTTGAAATAAGCTTTCTTGAAGGCATTGAGATGCCTTGCTGAGATCACTATGGATTGCGAGGATGGCCGTATCATTTACATATGTTGCTGTGAAAGTGTTAGTACTGATTGTATGTGGGCAAATCTACCTTAGTTTTAACCTTTATGAAAATGTATTTTTTTGTTTTCAAATGTGCAGCACATACATCTTATATTGACTAACATGTCTGAAATAAGTTCAAAAACACCAATCTACATGCGTTAATAGTTTTAAATAACTAGCGCAAAATTTACCTGAAATTGACTTAATTTCTTTCCAGCTTTACATTGCAGTCATGTTTAAATTACGCACTCTTAACGTCATAATTAATAAAATTAAGTTTGAAAATTGCGGCTACATGGATTCCGTGATAAGTTATGATATAAGAAAGAGTTTATAGTTAATATGGACTAAAAAACGTTTTCTTGGAATATGTGCCAAGATTTGTGAATTTTTCAATGAATTACGCTTTTGAAGGCAATTTTGTATACTCTAATGTGTTTTATTTTTAAGACACAATTTTCGACGTTTTAAATTTTTTGTTTTTGTGTTTGCTTCAACTTCAGTAACTTAGTTAGTCAATTAACTTAACGGCGCATATGTAATATTGTTAACTTTACGAAAATTAATATTTTGCAAAAATGGAGGAACAAATTTTTCAGCGGCCACCATTTTGTACGGTTATATGGCATATAATCGATCTCTAAAGAAAAGATGTAGAACTAACTTTTTTATTTATTACGAAAGCGTTATATAACATGGCGCAGGTACAAAGTTATTAAGAGTGAAATACAAATTCAAAAGGGACAAAATACATTTGTATAATTTTCTATATTTTTAGTGTACTTTTAAACGCTAGCAATGACACGAACGCTCTGCATTCTTATACATAGTTATTACTAGATAGTATACGAAGAAAAAATGCGTCTTGTGCATATGTTGTGCATATGAAAAACAACTCAGATTCAGCAGTATAAAACAGTTCATCAAAAGTTAAAACTACGGTGGATTTGCCCATATATATATATATATATATATATATATATATATATA